TGACCTCAGTCAGTCAGTCAGGCAGCACTGCCATCGCCGTCCTGCCCCGTAAACACTTCGCCCTGTCCCCTCTGGGCACTCTTCCGATGGGAGGATGGACCAGTCAAGGGCAGAAAGTCTNGCAGCAGCAGCAGTTCCCCTATGCCTTTGCCTATGTCCGTTGCCGTGGCCAGCAACAACACTGACCTCAGTCAGTCAGTCAGGCAGCACTGCCATCGCCGTCCTGCCCCGTAAACACTTCGCCCTGTCCCCTCTGGGCACTCTTCCGATGGGAGGATGGACCAGTCAAGGGCAGAAAGTCTGAGAGAAAAAGAGAGAGAGCGAGTCCCTGTCTGGTCACCAGCACCACCGACAAAAGCAGACAAATTACCGCTCAAAGAGTCAACTTCGATTTGAGCCCTGCTGGTTGGAGCAGCACTCCTTTCCTTCCGCACAGAAGANTCTCTCTCTCTCTCTCTCTCTCTCTCTCTCTCTCTCTCTCTCTCTCTCTCTCTCTCTCTCTCCCTCTCTCTCTGACATTAATGGTCAACGGCAAACTTTTCATCGTGGTCTTTTTTGTAGGAGAAGGAGGTAGTAGTCAGTGAGCCGAGCAGAGAGGAACAGATAATGGTGTTGGTAGTGTCGATTATGAATCGAGCAGCAGCAGCACGAGCAGCTCGAGGAGCCATCCTCGTCGCCAGCACCAGCACCAGCACCACCGTTGCCGTTCTCCCGAGTTGGCTCTGCTTTTTGCCTTTCTTTCTCCCCTTTCCCCCTGCTCAGTCTTTGTGTTGTGTTCTCCTGACTGTTTCTCTCTCTCTGTACGTACTAGTAGTGAGCATTATAACCACCACAGCTGATAATGCTGGTGGTGGCTACGAGGTGGCAAGCAACTCTGGAGTGACTATGTCTGACTGACTGACTGTGTGACTCCAGCAGCGGCAGCTTCGTAGGCAATTTAGGCAAAGTTGTTAAACACATGTCAGCGACAGAAGCTCTGTCCTGTCCTGTGTGAGTGTGTGAAGTAGCCGCAGCAGCAGCAGCAGAAGTAGACACTTCAAATGCACATCTTCAGCGAAGATGGTGGTGATGATGTTCGATGTCCACCACTGAAAAATGCGTTCGGCTGCTCTTACCCCATTTCTCTGAAAAACTGCAGTACAACAGCTGCAGTAGTAGTGTGTGTGTGTTCGAAATGACGCAGTAGGAGCAGCTTCAGTGGTAGCCTACAGCTGCACTGGGCACCACTTGTACGGCAGCGCCCAGTACCAGGAAGTGGCGGTGGTCGTCGACGACTGCACCAGCACAGAGAGGAAGGCGAGAGTGAGGAACCAAAGTGTGCGCCCCCTTGGCCCACGATGTCGATTGCTGCTGGAGCTGCTGGCTCTATACAGCGCACTGTGTCCCTCTCTCCGTCTTTCTCTCTCTCTCTCTTCCAGCACTGGCTGCCTCCTCTCTCTCCTCTACCACTGTACGACACTGAAGCGAGTGTGTGTGTGTGGTGTGCCTTCGACGATGTCGACGACGACAGACTCTCGCTCTGCGCGACCACCACGACCAAACGTTGTCGACGGCAGCAGAACGATCTGGCTCTTGCTGTGCTGAGGCTGAGGCTTGCTCTCTCGCACGCGCGCTCGCGCCTCGCCTGCTGGCTCTCCTCTCTCTCTCTCTCTCTCTCTCTCTCTCTCTCTCTCTCTCTCTCTGCTTCCCAGCTCGCTTGCCTGTGTTGTTGGCAGCCATTACCGGAGTACTTCGCTTCTACTTCGTTTCAGCGAGTAGATCTGCAGTGGCAGCGAGGTGACAGTTGCTGGCGGTTGAAGGTTTCCACTTTCCACACACCACCAGAGCAGCAGCTTTGTTGGCTAATCGGGGCGAACAAAAGTGGCACAATGACCATTAGAGCCTTTGCCTGGTCGGGATTGAGCTGTGCTGAGCTGGACAACTGGTCACCAGAATGGTGCAATCATCACCAGAAAACGAAAATCCAGATGAGAAAACCAGAAGAACAAAAGTAGATTTGCTTCTGCTGCAGTTGCATGCAAATGGGGTGATTCACCGTCCTCAACTGACGATTGCGTAGCTGGCAGGCTGGAAGCGGGGGCAGTGCCGCACCTTCACACAATCAAGGCAAAGTGAACACTGCGGATTGATGCGGGGGCAGTGCCGCCCGTACAAATAGCAATCAAATGGGTTGCTGCCACACCCACTCAAGGCTCCTCGGCAAGGGAATACAGTTGACCTACCTTGAACTGGTGTGCTTCATCGCCTTCGGGAGTATGGGCTACTAGGGGCCAGGGACCAGGGACCAGAGTGTGTAGGGGCCAGCAGACCAGGAGATACGGTTTCAGGACCAGAGACCAGCTTGTGTGTGTGTCCATTTCAGTGCTGGCAGTCTGTGAGTGAGTAAGAGCGTGCTGGTGTGTTTGCGTCTGGCACAGTGTCTGTGAGCAGTGACGGCGTAGTCAGTTTGGCGGACCAGAACTAACTGCACTGCTGCACATTAGCAGCTGCCGCTGCCACGGAAAGTTCGAAATGGCCCCAGCAGCTCGACCACGCAGTCGCTTGTCCATTGTAGGTGCCACTACTTTCGAACTTTGGCTCCGCCCCTCCAACAATAGTGGACGGCCAACAAAAGAGCCGTCTCTCGCTGCTCTGCGAGTCATTTCGCGTCTGAACGTCAAAGTGTGCACGTCGTCTGTCTCACTCTGTTCCCTATCTCTCTCAACGCGAAAGCCTTTTGCTCTCTCACACTTGCCAGCCAAAGCAGCACCACTCTCTCTCAACTCTCGTCTCTTCTCCTCCCGCAGCAGACAATCTGCTCTACCATTCTCACTTGCATTTTGCCGTTCTGGCTGCCACAGCTTCCCAAGCCTTCCCTATGCGGTGCGCAGTCGAAGCGCCATCTCACCCGCCCGCCACATTCAAACGATTTGAATCGCCGAGGCGCATTTCAAAACGAACACTGCGATCGAACGCCACGACCTCCACCTCCACCACCACCAGCAGCAGCGGTAGTAGTAGCAACAGTGGCGGCAGCAGCAGCAATCCTGCCGTCATCATCACGCCCACCAACTCCCACAGTCCTACACTCCCCACCACCACGCCTCAACCAGTGCATAAACTACGGGCCGAGGGCCACTCGGCGTCAATGTCAAAGCAGAAGAAGACTCGCCGGTCTCGTCGAAGGAAGAAGGGTAACGAAACTTTGACCACCTCTACCTCTTCCACCACAGTGGTCGCCGCCGGCGATCTGCCGCGCCGTGATTTGCGCCGCCAGAAACGTCCTCATGATGGATCATCAGGGCACCATGATAAACGTGATAAGAAGATGCGATGGACCGAGTGCAATCGTCATGAGGTTTCCCGCCTGCACCGAGACTGCAGGCAGAAGGGCCAGCCCCTGGCGCCGTACAACACCACGCAGTTCATCATGAACGAACACAACGCCGAAAAGGAGATTGACTTTGATCAGCTCAGTGGACAGATCCAGCAGATGCACAACAACCGCCACCGGCCACACAATGGCAGCACCAATGGCAGCAGTGGTGTTGGTGGAAGCGGCAGTGGCACGGCGCAAGACGGAAGTGCCAGTGCGAGTGGCCGCTTGGACGACTCCAACCGCGACGACTACTACTACAGCTCACCGGAAGACGAGTCCTACTTTCTGGAGCAGCAATTTCAGCACGACTACAACACGATGCACGCCGAGCGACTCAACTCAATGTCAAAAAGTGAGTTACTAAAAGAGTACCTTATTATTGAAAAGGAGCTTGAACATTTGCGCCAAAAGTCCCCCTCTGGAAGTTCGGCCGGTGCCGCTGGAGCCAGCTCATCAAGGGGGGACGCATCCGCCATCAGCTTTACCACCATCACGAAGAGTCCGCGACCACCGTCAATGCCCTCTTCACCTCGAGGGCAGTATCTCAATGTCCCCTTTGCCCAGCAACAGCAGCAACTCCTTCCCCAGTCAAGCTCACGCAATCAACATAATCACCACCACCACCACCATAGTCGCCATCATCATCACCACTCTTCCAATGGCAACTCGTCTTCGCATAATCGCTGTCTCAAAGAGAACAAGCGCTTACGTAAGTTGCTGAAGCAGGTGTACAGTCGGTACAATAGTCTCATGTACTGCATCAACTATGTGAACACCAACAACAACAGTGGCGAGGCTTCGGCCTTTCAAGTGGACGACAGTGGTGTGAGTGTCCAGCACAATCCTCAACCGAACAGCAGTAGCAGCAGCAGCAACCACCTCTCCCCACCGTCACTGACGCCCGACGACTACCAAATGAGCAATGAGATGCATTTTCGAATTGAGAAGTACATCTCCAATCCCTCTCCATCGCCGCTCACCTCTTCCACCAGTCGCGGCGGCGACTCGAGCAGCTCTGCCTCGTACACCTCCTCCAACTCTTCCACTTCATCCTCGACGTCGGTCACCAGCGAAGAGGATGGTCCCTCCAACGACGGTGGTCGTCTCTCCACCGCATCGACGCCCACCATCCTGGAGCCGCAACAACGCGCCAAGCGCAGCAGCAGCAGCACTGGTGGTAGGTCTACTTCAACCACACCTACTTCTACTCCAGTTCGACCTGCTGGCAACAGCAGTGGCGAACAGCAGCAGCAACCACATTACGAAGCGACCGGCAACGGACAATGTGGGTCGTCATCGACGGAGCTTGAGGCCCGCGAAGTCCTTCACAAGCTGGTGGATCTCGTGGTGGATGATGATGATGATGTCGAAGGTAACTAATCCTCTCCTCTTCCTCCTTGTGCGCGCTCTTCTGCTCGCTCTCTCGCTGCTCTATATTTTCTCTCGCTCGCTCGCTCGATGAACGCGCGCGCGTGCTTTCATTTTCTTTTACCAAGAATGAGAGAGATGAATGACAAATATATTTTCAACATCTTTTACCACTTTTGCCATTACACACGAACACACAACCAACCTTGGCGTAGAGTGACCAAGTGCTAGTCAGCGGGCGCACACATACACACAACAAAACTATCTTCTTACATAACACACCAGACACACACACTCACTAAACCATCGTCAATGGGGGGAGGAAAGAGTTGCTGCTGTGGAGCGAGAGCATACCTTTAATTCTCTTCTGGTGAAGTATGCACCCCTGTTCTCATGGCTGCCGCCGCCACCGTTTCATCGCAAGTTTTGTTACATTATAAAAAGAACCTTCATCATCGTTATACCATTTACCATTTCTGCAAGATCCTATCGAGTCACTGTCGAGGTCAGACAACACCTACTGGACTTATTGTTTACCTCTTCTTCTTTTTCTTATTTTCCTATCATTTATATATAAACACTGTTGCCACACAAAAATCTCTATTATTAATTATTGATTATAAGTGAAAAAACCAATCCTGATGACGAGTCTTTCCTTCTCCTCTTTTTCCCCTCCATTCATTCTCTTTCTCACTCTTTCTCTACTCGTCTTCTTCCTCATACTGTTGATATTTATTTTTGTATAAAAAAGAGTAAAGATCCTACTGAGATTGTTTGTACGAGCGCGCGCAATAATGACACAAACTTTACCTGCGGTGCGTGTTGCGTTGTTATTTTGTTTTGTTCTTTATTATCATTATCATTATCATTCTGTTATATTTTATTTTTATTATCTAAAAAGCAGTCTGTGTGTTTACTGACTGCCAAACTGAGAGGTGCTGTTTGTCTTCCTTCTCACCATCTTCACACACAACCACCACTACCACACACTGAACCTGAACACATCTGCACACACCAAATAATTTGTTTTGTAGCGCTAAATGGCACACTGAATGGCAGCTGCGCCTAGGGTGGGAGGGGGTCAAGTCGANATCATTCTGTTATATTTTATTTTTATTATCTAAAAAGCAGTCTGTGTGTTTACTGACTGCCAAACTGAGAGGTGCTGTTTGTCTTCCTTCTCACCATCTTCACACACAACCACCACTACCACACACTGAACCTGAACACATCTGCACACACCAAATAATTTGTTTTGTGGCGCTAAATGGCACACTGAATGGCAGCTGCGCCTAGGATGGGAGGGGGTCAAGTCGAAAAAAAGAATCGGCTACTAAAAAGTGGCCTTGGTGACCTTGGTCTGTAGAGATACTTTTTTAAACAAAACGGCTACACTGTCAGCCCTCAGGGTGCGCATTAATAAAAATAAAACAGCAGCGATATCGCTCATTTGCGGTCTCATTTCAGAAGCAATAGGCGAAACAAAAATTAAAATAAAGTCAAAAGATTACATCAGTAGCAGCCAATTTGTCAATCTCGAGCCTTGTCTGCCTGTCTATTCTATCTCTCTTTCTTTGTCTCTTTCTTTCTGTTTGCTCTCTGTATTGCCACCTCGAAGNGTCTATTCTATCTCTCTTTCTTTGTCTCTTTCTTTCTGTTTGCTCTCTGTCTTGCCACCTCGAAATGTGTGTATGTATTCTCTGTCTCTAGCTGGCTCTCTCTTTCTTTCGTTGCAGAGCTCTATTCTACCAAATGGATCAGCAGCACTCTCTCTGACCGCCGCCGCCGCCTTTGCCTGTGCGTTCGAGCAGCAGCAGCACTCTTTCCACTTCCTCCTTCTACTACTTCAGCTACTACTGCTACAGTAAAGCACGATCGCGAGTACTACCACGACCATCGCCGCCACCACAACCATCACCAGTACTACTACTACCACTACTAGTGACACGTCTGTGATATCATTGCAACCACCGCCACCACCAACATCATCATCATCCATTGCTCGAGGATACTAAAAAACTGAGCTCACCTTTAACCTCACCTCACACCTGTGTCAATCAATTGTGATGTGCCTCTCTTAAAAACTCTCACCCCTTCTACTGTGTTCGGACCCCAGGCTTCCACTGGTTTTTCACTGTTTCTCTGTTTTTCAATTGTTACCTTTTCTTTCCATTGTGATACTCTCTGATGTTCTGTTGATCTTTTGTTTACATTGTTGTTTGAAATTAAAATAAAATCTGTGATTTTCTCTCGTCAAAACCTTGATTTTACTTCTTCTGAGAGTGATGGGTAAGCAAGGAGTTTAGGTAATCAATTACATGTAGAAGAAGCAGTTTGTGGATTGCGTCATTTGGTTACGTACTCTTCGAGTGGTTCAAAAAACACTCACCTTGTGGATTTTTTTATTTTCTCATTTTTGTTTTGTTTAGAAAAAGCGATCCACGGAACATCACCCTCAAGAGTCTGATCAACATGATGAGTGACGGTGAGGAGGCCATGCCAAACACGGAACCACAGCATAAAGAGGACGACGACCACGAGAAAGATGTCAGCAGCCCCGATCCAGTAAAAGATGGCCAAAACCCGACCTTCAAGTTTCATCTTAAAGATAAAGTCCTCTGTCTTTCCCGTGGACTTCTCTTTCCGGGAATTATCGTTAAAACTGAACTCCTCAGTGAAACACCATTGTATGTAGTCCACTACCAAGGCTACAATAATAAGTGGGACGAACAAGTTTCGGAAGCTGAGCTTCGAGAGTATAATGAAGAGAACCTAGCTCTGGCCGAAAAGCTGAGAAGAGACGCTAAAATGGGCCGAAGTAAGAAGATATCTTGTTCAGAAGGTGATGCAGTAACGGAGGGCAAAAAACGCAAAAGGCGAAGTGTGTCATCTTCAAGTATAGATTCGTTGCCCCCTGAGGAAGAAGCATCTCCCATTCCCATTCCCGAATCACTGGAAAAAGTTCTACTAAAAGAACGCGAAATAATGCTCTCCAAAGAGCACTTTGTTTCTACCTCAACAGAGCCAAAGTCTATTGAAAAGCTGCTCCAGGACTACTTGGCCGATCGTTTTGAGTACAATTCTCTTGACGAGCAAAAAGAAAACTCGCTAGAACAGGCGGTTAGTGTAGCGCCAAGTAACCTCTTTCGCCAAGAGGTTTGCAAGGGCCTGGTCGATTGCCTGAATCGTTTCCTCTACTTGCGACTTCTTTATAAAGAGGAGATTGACAAGTACAGGCGCGTTTACTGGCAGCTTTCCAAAGACCGCCGAAAGGGAGCTGATATGGAGTCTCTTACTGAAGAGGAATTGCTCAATCTGGATGGCTCCGTTGACCTGACGCCCCACTACTTTCCCATTCATCTTTTGCGCCTCTTTGTCCAACTACCGGAACTGCTCAATATGCTTGAGCCACTGTCAAAGGTGGATGGACATGAGGAGAGCATCTACAACTGTTTCGCTGATCTACTGCAGTACATGGACGAACATCGAGTTGAACTTTTTGGGCCGATTATCAACGAGAATGTCTCTGAGGATCGCCCCAAGGAAGAAGAGGAAGGCGAGAACGACGTAGATGCTGAAGAAGAAGAAGAAGAAGAGGACGAGGAAGTGGACGATGAAGAGGAGTATGATGAAGGAGAAAGTGAAGAGGGTGACGAAGAGGAGGAAAGTGATGGTGACGAAGAGGGTAACGAAGAAGATGATGAGGGTGATGAGGAACTTGAAGAAGAAGAGGAATACGACAATGAGGAAAAACGCAGTTCATCTTTGCACTCCTCTTTTAATTCTGCATTGCTCCCTCCGTCACCGTCCCTCTCTGCCACTTCAACTTCGGCCTCTTCTGATTCCTCTTCTCCCCGATCTACTGCCGCTTCTTCCTTCTCTTCTCCGCCTCCGTCACCTTCAGCTCCACCACCTTATTCTCCACTGTACAAATATGGACAAATGGAGTCCAACTAACTGTTCTTGTTCTTTTCTCATGTTTTTTAAATTATAAATCTTAAAGCAGCAGGTGCTTCCACCCAGTCTCAATTGGTAACCACCAGCAAAACAGCCGCCCCTTTCCTCTCGTTTTTGGTGCATCTCTGCTACAAACATTTCTTTTATCACTGAAGGAGAGGGAAAGAACAGGAGACAACAACAACAACAGCCACCGCGTCAACACCGGCTGACTGACTTTACTAACTAACTAACGAACGAACCAGCCAACTCTCTCTCTCAGACGTTAGAAGAGTGCCTCCATTTAACGGCTCTCGCGCGTACGAGCACCACTAGTTTTCTGTCTTTCTTTTCTTTCTTTCATTTCCACAGCACTATCGATGGACGATTGCTGACACTGGGAAGCGGCGGCGGCGACGACGGCAGGAGCAGCAGGAGCTTTCGGTGACAGCAAGTCTGAAGTAGTCTGTGGAAGAAGTGGAAGAAGTGGAAGAGGTGCCTACGTGCGATGAACAGGCAGCAACAGCAGCAGCAATGGCGGCAGTGGCAAAGGCAGCAGCAAACCTGATCTGCAGTGCACTGTGCTCTTTCTCTCTCTATCTCACTCATTCACTCTCCTCTCCACAGTACTGACCTCCGTCTCCGGCATGGGAGTCCGATGAGAGCAGAGTGAGAGCAATGATGATGTTGATGATGATGATGATGATGATGATCGTCGATCAGAAGGAGAGTGTAGTGCTGCTGCTGCTACCTGTGTGCTGCTGTGATATGTGTTCCAACACGACAACACCCGATGCAATCGTACGTCGTAGTGTGCTGCTGCTGGTGGTCGTGGTGGTGGAAAAAATGCCTGAAAAAATGGCTGAAGAGAAGACCGCTTCACAGAATGACCACCTTCGCCGCCGACGCTTCTGCTGCTGCTGCTGCTGACCAGGCTGAGGATCTATCGATGGAGAGGGAGACCTTGAGGAAGAAAGAGAGAGGGATTGCCTCGCTGCTGATGCTGAATCTACCAAGAGGAAACACTCTTCAGTGTGTTCAGGTTTTATCGCACCGATAGCAGTGGCGGCACTTGAAGAAGTATTCTCTGAAAACAAAGGCCAGGGCGGTTGTACAAAGCTATCTAGCTTTGCCCAGTAGGATTGCCTGTGTAGCAGCTGCAGTCACGAGTGTCTTCTTTTACTCGGTGTTGCTACTTTTTCGATGTTAAGCTGTGGTCGTTTATCTTCCTCTTCTTCTGAAGCATCAGCTCTTCTTCAGTCAGTCCAATTTGGTAGTGCCTCACAGTATGCTTTAGTGCTGGTGTGTGTGTGTTTGTGTTTTAGCGCTGGTTGTGCACTAGCATCATCAGCTGCTGTTGCTGCTGTCAAGCGATGATATGAACAGAGAGTGAGAGAGAAGGAGCTGAAGAGTACTGCAGAGAAAAAGATAGTAGACACTGGAAAGAGTGACGC